GAGATACGGATTGTGTTACGGCAGCATCTCAAAAGATGGCTTGGGATACGAACACAATGACGGCAAACAATATGTACTAATTGGGAAGTAATTACTGAATGAGCATGCACTATCATGTGTGGGACATGTAATACGATGTCAGGTTTATCTCAAGGATAATCAAGATAGTCCTAAGGCGGGTTGTAATATATATATAGTTAAAATCATTGTAAATACTACTAACCCCGATTTAACTATAATAAAATTCACCGACCAAAGAGGTCACCTTAAAGAGAAAAAAAAAAAAAATTATAAATATATATATATTTGTTAATTTATAAATTATTATTAAATATAAATATAAAAAAATATTTATTTTTATGGAAAATTATAATTAGCGACCTGTCGCTATAGCGACCCTATATGATCAGCCAATCATTTTTAAGATTGGCGATCATATATAAACAATGATTATCCTTTTGATAATCATTGTTTTTATTTATTTATTTTTTTTTTTGTACTTGTTTTATTTTTTATTTTTTTTTTGTGATTAATACAACTAGTTTTTTTTTTCTTCTCTTTAAGTCGTCATGTTGAAATCTTGAAGCCATCATTGAAGCCTTGGAGTCGTCGTTAGAGCTGTCGTTAAAGCCTTGGAGTCGTCGTTGGAGCTGTCGTTGAAGCCTTGGAGTCGTTGTTGGAGTCGTCGTTGAAGCCTTTGAGTCGTCATTGGAGTCGTCATTGAAGCCTTGGAGTCGTTGAAAGTCGTGCATTTCAGGTAGCTTGGCTGTTTTTTATTCTTTTGTATTTTGGTATCTGAAAGGTTTTTTAAATTCACTAATTTGTCGGCTTTCTTCGGTGTGTTCTTTCATAGTCTTTCTGTGGTGCTTTCAGTAAGTTCGTATTTCTTCCAGCAAATATTTGTAGATTCTTTCGATAGGTATAAGTTCGTCTGTTGTTTTTTCGGTGGGTTTCTTTTGTAAGTTTGTCTGTCATTTTTTCAGTGATTTCTTTGTAAGTTCGTCCGTCATTTTTTCGGTGATTTCTTCAGACATATTCGTTGGAAAATAATTGAAAGAACAAGTTAGAGTAATTGCTAAATGTTTGGGTGTTAACAGGTCTTCTGTGGGTCGAGTTTTCAAACAATTTCAGAGGTATGACTGTGTTAATGAATTACCATCACTTTAAATAAACGTTATACCTACTTTGAACTTTATTATAATTATTAAGATATCGTCTTTTTTTTATTAATGCCTACTTGTGTAATATGGAATCTCTTGCAGAATAGGTTATACCTTTATTTTTTCCAATGAATGTAGTAAATAAAGGCATCATGACTTAAGTCACGATGCCTTTATTCTCCATATCTACCGGAAAAATAAAGGTATAACCTATTTTGCAAGAGATCCGTAATATAGAGTATAGTATTACGTATTAAAAGTCAAATTTACTAAATTTTCTGATTTTTATATTGTATTTAATAAGTTATCAAAGATAATTATATAATAAAAAGATTCACAAAACAAACTTTAAGTCTATATGTTTATTAAAAAAGTCCAACTTATGTTCAAAATTATTTTAGTTAATTGGCAAGTATAGTTTTTGGCATAAATGTTTGTATCATACATATTGGATATGGCAAAAAAAATTTTTAATGAAGTGTTGAAATAATTGACGTTGCGAATTTAATATAATATTGATTGAACAATGTGCTTAACAATAATTTTTTTATATACTGATCATGCACTATCATACCGAAATCAATAACTTATCGAATTTGAGTAAATAAATAAATGAATAAATAAATAAAAAAAATAAAAATAAATAAAAAAAAAAACTTATATTAATATTTTAGGTACAAATGAACCAAACAAAATTATTTGCTTGGTTATTATTACTAACATGGGATAGGAGTTGAAAAAAATCTGCAGATATGGGTGAAAGTATTTACATGGGTAATACAAAATCTGATTTTGTGCGAGAGATAAAAAAAAATAATAATATAACTGACTAATAAAAATCGATCATATTAATCACATGCTCGATTAATCAAATCAATCGAGCACATGATTCACGTGACTGATTTTTATTGGTCGATCAGGGGTCACCACGGCAACGGATCGCCATAAACTAATGCTCAATTTTTTATATATATAAAAAGTTTTTACAAAATTTAAATTATTTTTTATTATGTTATTTATTAGGTTAAAAACTAGTAAATAAAAAAATATACTAATTTATGTAAAATATTTTTATTTATTTTTTTTAATTAAAGAAGACTCTCTTGGTCAGTAAATTTTATTAAGTAAGTTCAAATATTATTACAAAAGTATATTAAGCCATACATACACTTTTGGTGCATAATTTAAGTAGTCTATGTTAAAAGTCTACACTATCTGCTATATCTGTAATTCAACAATGGGATTATTCATTTAAACCTTCTGGTATTAACATATTCAGCCAGCCTAATACTTATCTAATGCAAGTATAACTTACTATTTAGGTTGTAGGTTTTGTAACACCACTACATTATTAGCCAACTTAAAACACTTTACTATTCTCAAGAGTAAGCCCAACAGAGCAGTAAATATCTCATATATATATTCATCTGCATGTTTGGTAACTTCTTATCTAATTAGTATCTGTTGTGCTGCTATCACTAAGTTCGTATTTCAAGCTACTCTTTAGAATGCTACTATAACCTGATCTGTATCTCAAGCTACAATCTTCCTAATTAGTCATTTATTACTTACTTATGCCCTTTTTCAGTTTACAACAACCCCAGTACTCACACTTGGAACTGTCTTTTTATTTATATTCTTTATTGGTCCCTTTCTTACTTTCAGCTAGCAACCCAGAAGGGTTAGTTTGCTCAGGCTTTAGGTGCCTCAAGGTTACTCTCTCTTGATCTATATCTTCAGAGCATATACTCTTTTTCTCCAGTATAATAGCTAGTGTGTCCTCTGCTATTTTAGGACCTGATCACTTGCTTCTCCGATCTTAGACTCTGGTCTCTCCTGTAGTACTGTTGAAGATTACTATTACCTCCAAATTTAGAATATAAAAAATAAGTTTTTAGTTATGCCAGTTTCTTAGATTTATTGCACCAAAGCTTCTATTACTAAATAGTATAACTGAAGTTACAGATTTAGTTCTAGATTCAACCAATAAATATAGCTGTCAACTGAAACACAAGCACATTTTTCAAATATCATTATTCATAGGATTTGAACTCTAGACCTGCTACTTGAAAAAAGTGACAACTAGATCACTATACTAAGTCATCACACCTCTAAAATATTTTTATATAACAAGTTAATATAATTTATAATTAATAAAATTTTAATTAAGATTAGCTTAAAATTATAATTTAAAGATCATTTTTATATATATTTATAATTAAAATTTTTAAAACTTGAATTTTTATAGATTTTTAATATTTTTAACCTAAAATAAAATTAATTTTACTATATAAATTAATTAATAGTAAGACTAGAAGGTTTAAATAGGTACCCTGTAGTTGGGGTATAGGTATAGCAAATAGTGTAGAACCCTTAGTATAGTACAACTGCTTTGGGTGGACTACTTAAATTAGACACCAAAAGTGCATATGTGGCTTGATATATCTTTGTCAAAATATATAGTATCTAAACTCGACTTAATAAAAATCGCTGACCAAGAAGATTTCCTTTAATTAAAAAAAAATAATAATAATAAATTAATAAATAGATCATAGTTAAAGAGTACAAAATAATTGATATTTTATAATAAACAAAATTAAAAATTTATATGTTTTTTCTATAATATAGAAGTATAGCTTGCTTATATATAAAAGTTATTTTATTAAGTAAATTTTTTTTGTTTTAACAAAAGTTGTAGAGCTAATTTTTCTGATTCCAATAGTGAGTTATAAGTATTTTTTAATTGTTTACTATAGGGTTTTTTCATAAGAATAAAAGTATATAGTATTCTACTTACTATATAAGGTAATTAATCATATACCCACTGATTTTTACTATAAAATTTATACTTTTTAACTGTAAATTACTAATTAATTATTTTTTATATAATAAATATTAAGATTAGTAATTTATTTTTTAGAAATATCTAAAATTCACCACAGGTAATAATTACCTATAAGTTATACAAGATATTTTATATTATGTTATTATAATAAAATCTAAATAATCAATATATATTTTATATTTATTACATGTAATAATCACCTATTACACAGAATATTTTATATTACGCTACTGTAAAATCTAAATGATCAGTCTGGGTTTGAAAATATTATACATACATATATACGTATATTGTTTTTCTAATTAGTAAATAAATAAATGGATATGATTTAGTGTATGAATAGTGAGGAAACCCATTGGGTTAAAGGGCTGATGGAGGTAGTTAGAACCAGATAGTTTAAATGGGTACCCCCCTAGTTGGAGTGCAGGTATGGCAGATAGTGTAGAACCTTCGGGCAGACTACTTAAATAGGCACTCAAAAGGTGTATGTGTGGCTTGATGTACCATCGTTGTAATTACATATAAAACTTCGTCTATACTCTAATAAAAAGTTTCCCAGACCAAAGAGGTTACCTTAATACCAAAAAAAATAAAAAATAAAAAATAAAAATAAAAATAAATGGATATGATTAAACATTAATTAGGTTTCTTTTGTTTGTCTAAAAAAAGCAATATATATAGTAAGTAAAATGGAAAACAATACCTTTGGGTCATTTTATATATCGACATCGTTTAGTCCTTCTATACAAAATTTTTAAAAGTTAGTAACCAGCTTAGTGTTAGTAGTATGTACATATTAATTTAATTTATAACTAGTTTGCTTATTGATAATTATCAAGTGATCTTGAGGTCTCAAATTATCACAAACAAAACAATAATTTTGGGTTATTTTACTATATGTCAGCATCAAATTATCATAAACAAAACAATAATCTCAGGTCATTTTACTATATGTCAGCATCAAATTATCATGAACAAACCAATAATCTTACTATATGTTAGGCTCTTTTGAACAAGATTTCAGGTTAGTAAAGCAGCCTAATATTAATAATAGTATGTTAAATTTTTGACTGGTTAGTAAAGCGGCCTAATATTAATAATAGTATGTTAAATTTCTGACCAGTTAGCTTTATTAATTATCCAGTGGTCTTGATGTATCAAATGATCTTGAGTAGAATCAAGGCTTTAGAAAGTCTGTTTTATATTAGATTGTTGAATACTAGTTCTTATCAATATTTAATGCGATTAATTATGAATTTTAATATTTTGTTGACTTTGGTCATTTTACTACATGTTGATATCATTTAATCCTTTTGTGCAATAAATTTCTAATCTGTTTGTTTATTAATTACCTAGTAATTTAGCAATATCAAATGATTGTGTACAGAACCAAAGTTATGGAAAGTCAGTTTCACACTGTACTAGATTTTACCAATAATTAAATATGATTAATAGTCATATTTTAAATCTCTAGTTTGGGATATAAAACAGTCGATTTGCCATCAGTAATTCATAACTATCAAGCTATTAATTCTGAAAATAAAAGAGATAATTTGCTATTAGTGGATTATGATAGCCAAAGTTTTAGTTCAAAAAATGAGACAAAGTAAGCGGTATTTATTTATTTGACTGATATCTAATATTTTAGCATGCTAATTTTTTCTAATAGTTCACAAGATTCTCTAAGAGATGATAAGTCAAATGAAAGCTCCACACTATTGTATACTGGCTTTACACTCTATTCATGAGAAAACGTAGACAAGCTGATAGAATCATATAGAAAGTGTAAAGAGTTCTTATTTAGTCGAAGTAGAAGTAATCATCATTTAGACTGTTCTAGCATTCGCTGTCATAGTTATAAATGTTTATATTTATATGCACATAGGATTAAAAAAAACAGTTAATAATAATAAACAACATGAACAGTCTTCTGCAACAATAAACTGTCAATGGCATATTAATTTTAACAACTGCAAGGGAACTACTGATATTGTTTGTACTTCATTTGTTGATAGCTATAACTATGAATTGAATTCCTTAATTACTCAAACGGCACCACGTTTTTGTAAATTAACAAAGAAGATGCTTAAGGACATAGAATTTTATACCTGTTCTACAGAGGGTATTAGTGCTACTTTACATTACAATCTCTTAAAAGCAAAACATCCTGATAATTATATTAATAAAAAAGATGTATATAATGCTATTCAATGATTTTGGCAACCTTTTCAAAAGAATTTGAAAAATGATACTGCAGAAACTTTGAAAAGGCTAATAGCCTTAAAAGCTAAAGACTCTAATTGGGTGGTTGTATCTAATATTTAAGACAAAGAAAATAGATTAACAGATCTTTTTTGGATGTCTTTGTTGCAAGTCTCATTATAGACTCAATTTCATAACATAGTGATAACAGATAACACTTGTAAAACCAATCGTCATGACATGGCTTTATGTTTTTTTCTGGTTGTTGACAATTTTACTTGTTTATATATTATTGCACAGATGCTATTAGAAGAAAAAACACAAACTTCTTTTGAATAGGTTTTAGAACAATTAAATAATGCAACTAATGGAATTACTCCAAAGAATATCTATTCAGATGCTAACTTGGCTATGGGTGCAGCTTTACAAAACATATGGCTATATATACATCATTAATATTGCATATTTTACATGAATAACAATTTTATTAAAAAAATAAAAGCCATCATGGGTAAACAATTTGATAAATGTTATAGACTTTTTTGTCATTCTTGAAATAGCTTGTTTGAAATCAACTTTGAGTGCTACTAGGCATGATTTATTGAATTTCTTAAACCATTCCCCAAAGCAACATGGTACGCACTTGAAACTCTTTACACTACACATCATAGCTGGGCAATTTTTTATATACAAACATGCTTTACTGCTAGTATTCAAAGTACTTAACAGGTGGAAGGTATCAATACAATTATTAAAAAGAAAGTATCACATAGCACAACGTTATTATATTTAATTGATGCAATACAAAATCAGTTAAATGAAGAAGCAAATTATACATGTATAAATGAACAAAAAAATACCAACCCTACTATTAGATTGTCCTATGTTGCAAATAAATATTTTTCTACTATCGATTCTTTAATTTAGGAATATTTAACTTTACATGTTTTCTCCCTTCAAAGACAACAAATTTCTGAAAGTTTCTTATATAATGCAACAAAATTTTCTTTTGATTAGAATAAAAGTTTTTTAGAACCAAATAATATTATAGAGGATAGATGTCTTGAAAATAACTATGAATATCATCAAATAGGTCTTAGATCATTGCTACAGAATTTAAGCTATGAAGACATTTTACAGATCTGAGTTGTAACTCCACAGAGATCTTTTCCAAATTGTTTTAGTAATTATGTTGTACTACTTGTAGATGGTACATATTTATGCACTTGTCTAACTTTGATTAACAAAGGAATCATTTGCCATTATTTTTTTAAAATTCTTATAAAATCTTATTTAGCTAGATTTCACATTTCTTTGATATCAAGCAGATGGTACAAAAATAATATAAGTGAAGATGAAAATCTTATTGCTTTGCTCCTAACTATTAGATTATATGAATCTAACCAAAATTTATTATTTAAAAATAATGACTATATGATTAATTTCAGATATCTAGCACAATTTCGAGTTAGTAAAGTATTCACATCTGTTTTGAAAAAGTCTGTCAGTAAAAAAAGCTGTTGGTCCAAAGGATATAGAATATCCAAGAAAGCATTAAATCTAATAATATAACTTAATTGTGATAATAAGTTTTTTCAAATGATAGAAGAGTTCATTTCAGCAAAAACATGTGAGCTACAACAGATAAAAGATGAGAAAAAAATTTATAAAAATATGAGTGAATTGCAACAAGCTATCAAAGAAGAAGAATTTGATGAAAATACAATTGAAAAACAAGTTGCAAACCTATTTGTAACCAAACGTTGGGGCTGGCTACCAAAATGATTCAAAAATGTGCTTGAAAATATTACTAATTCTCAAAATTTACAAAACTCCAAATCAGTGCTAACTTATAAAAAACTTGAAAAAAGAAAAAACAAGTATGCTAATTGTGGGGATTATAGACATAATATTAGAACTTGTCTGACATAAAAAGGATTTATATAAGTTGAATCTAGTTCGAATACTGTATATTTAACAAGTGATTTTATAGAGACAATTTTTATGATACTGTATAATTTGGTATATTAATAGAAAAAGGCAAATATATTTTTGACAAGATGTAGAAAACTACCTAAAAAGTTTTATATAACATTTTGAGCTAAGGTTATAATAAGCATAGACATCAAATATAATCAATGTAATGCACTGCATGTTAATTGTATATATGTTTTACCTCAATTAAATGATAAATAGTAAATTTAAGTAGTTAGAATAGGTGAATACATACAATAAACTTTGTAAGCACCTTAACATAAGAATCTTTATTCATAAGCTTGAATAGCAATTGACTTGAGTTTTATTTAGATTGAATTAAATAATTATACAATTTGATCTATTTTAGCAACATTAAATCATCATTATTACAACTCTTTCTGTCGATCACCTAAACCAAATTTTATGCTAACAAAAAAACTAAAAGAAAATCTGTTGAAGAGTTGAGTAGACTATAGTAGTGGTTTGAGGTTCAAATATAGATCAACTTTGCTTTGGGGGACTCTTTGCCTCATTTGGCATGCAAGCCAGAAACCTTGTTAAGAGGAAAATGCAGGTGGCACTCTTGGCTAGTAAAAATTTTGGTAAACAACAAAAGCTCTGTCGATGAAGCTACATAGACTACAGCTCTAAGAGAACTTTAGTAGTGGTTTTTAGAAAAGGTCAACTAAGTTACTACAGGGACTCCTCTCTATATTCGGCATGCAAGCCAGAAGCAAATATACAAAGGAGAAAAAGGCAGGTGGCACTCTTATGTGTGTAAATTTTGGTAGACCAAGAGAAAGTGTCTGTCGACGAAACTACAAAGTTCATCCTTGAAGTCCAGGGTACAACAGATTCTTTACCTTTTTTTCAACATACTCTCTCAAAATTTGGCTTTTCTGCACCTATCTCCTACTCGCCGTCATTTTTTTACAAACTTTTTCAAAAAAACTGGAGATTTGGCTACCCCTCCAAACGATCAACATTGTTTACCACTTCTATTTTTAGAAGTTATCGTTGTGATGTGGCAAATTAGGAAAACAACAAACACGTGCAAAGCGTGTGGTGATTTTTATTATTGGATTTAATACATGAAAGGGTTTTCAGTCCTTTTTTAGTATACTTTTGTTAGTATTATGTGAGATATATGTTATTCCGAAGTCACATGTATAATATTTTTTTAATCTGGCACAGGTTTTGATAGTGCTCTTGCTATTTTTGTTTCTTCTTTTTTTTATTTTGTCTTTTTTTTTTTTTTCTTTCTTTATAAAGTTTTTATGTGGTTTTTTTTTGTAGTATTCGCTTTAGTATTTCACCTTTTTGGTTTTAAACTTCTCTTTTTTTCTTTGATTTTAGAGTTTTTTCGTTAAGTAGCTAGAAGTTTTTCTTTCTACTTGGGAAGTTAGAAGGAGAAAATTTAGGGTTTAAAAGGAGGAGGCAATCTTGATGACTATAAATGCCACTCAGTGATATATTAGATTTCTTTATTTGCAGGAAGGTTTAGTATTGAGAGAAAATTTTTACTATAGCAGATCACATATAGGTAATTTGGACTTTTGTTGCATAAGACTCTTGTCGCAAAGAGCCGAGTGAGTTAATACTTGTAAATTAGGAGTAACATGTTAGCCTAGTATTAAAGTTAGCTTATGCATAAAATAGATATGAAATAGATTTGTGAGATTTATATCTAATAAAGTATTGGCAAGATTGCCGAATGTTAAAAAAAAAAAAAATTAAATCATTATTATTAACAGTGTTGAGTATAACAATTTTTTGCTATAACCTTGGCTAACTTTTTGGCTATAGTTCATATTAAATGCTAATAAAATAATTGCATCTATGATTAAAGTTATATCAACTTTGTTATGACCAAATAATTTATAATAGTCAAGATAGTGAGACATAATTCTAATTATAAAGGGCATAGATGATAACAATGCTATTCATGATTTTGAACTGAATTAATTTTTTTTTTTTTGCATTACTGTTCTATTTGCACTATAAAAGTGTAGTGCTTATAACTTCATTGATCCATAGGATTAAAGTTAATGAAATTGCATAGAATAAATTCTCTTTTTATGTAATTTCCTAATTTCTATTGCTACAAAACAAAAAAATGATTTATGTTAGAGTTTAGGTTTGGGTTAGAGTTATAGAGAGCTTTAATATAGCAAAATTGTGCAAAGAAAATTTTTTGTTAGGGCCAAAGAAGTGATCTAGTAGTCTAAATTTCAAGATAAACTTGGTTTTTTGCAAAGAAAACATTCATTTTTGATTTTCTTTATGTTATACTAATTTTGATTTCTAATTAGCTAACTGATATCAAAAAATCACATGAATTAAAATCAATCCTATACTTTGGTAATATTCTTTTCGTTGCATTAAACTACTGTTTGAACCAGTTTATTTTATATATTAAACTATATAGTACTGTAGTATTACTAAACTAGTTTCAATTGTGTTATATTATACTAAGTTGTTGTATTACTAAAAGTGTTTGATTGTATTACACTATATATAGCATTATAGTTTCACAATATATAGGTAATTATCACCTGTGGTGTAAATTAGCAAACTTCTTATTTTTTATTATAATATGTTTTTTTATATAATAATTTTATTTAAAATTTGCAGACTTTTTATCAAGTTAAAATAAAAATGCTTGATTTTAATTAGTCAAATCTTAATAAAAATATTAAAAATTTTAATTTTTTAATTTTTTAAAATTTAAAAATCAAATAACTTTAAAATTTTTTTTAAAAAATTTAAATTTAAAAATTAATAAAAAATTTTTATATATAGATTGTATAAATCTTCAAATATTATATATATATATTTTAAATATTAATTAATATAAAAAAATTAGTACTTTATTATATATAAACTTTAAAGTATCAAACTTTTGTATTATTATTAATAAGATGTCCAATAATTTTATTTATAAAGCACTAAAATTAAAAGTGCAATTATGGAATACATTTCTGGTAAGAAATTTACCAAGTGCTTTCTTATCTATTTGCTATCTTTGATCTTTAATTTTTTTGCTAATTTGATCTTGTATTTGCTTTGGCCCTAATCTTTTACTTTCTAAATTTGTGTTGGTTTTTTTTGTATATTTTGATTAAGATTACTTAATACACAGTATAGTGATTTTGGTAAGTTGCTATTTGTTGATAAATTATTGTTAAGCATATCTGTATTAAATGTTGTATAATCACTTGTTAATATAAAATTACTATATATTTTTTTTAAAAGTTGTAGATTATTAGATATTCTTTGATCAAGTTCAAATAATTCATGTATTAAATAGATAACATTTATTAATATATGAAAAAATCTGCTTAAACCTTGTTATTGTATTATTATCTTGTAACACTCATATAATACTAGACCTTGTTGGGTTTTATGATGTATAATAGATATTATAACTAAATTAAAAAATCCTAATTCTATTAATACTTGTACAGATGTTTTACAGCCTAAATAGTTTGAGATAGTTCTATTACCAATATCAATATTTGTTATTTTACAAATAAGCTAAAAGTAGCTTTTTAATATATATTTAAACAGTGCATATTTAAAAGCCATTTTTACTAAAATCTACTATAATAAAAATTTTTTTATTAAGTAACAAATTTATTTAAACAGTATATTTTGTTAATTACAATTGAAATTCAAAATTCTTATAATCATTTAGTATATATAGTATTAAATAAAAATTAGAAATATTTGTTGTAGGTTATTTTGTAAAAAAAAAAACTCATAATCATCAATAATATGCTTATTGTTGGGTAAACTAATCATTTTAGCTTGTCTATCATGATTATTAAATTTTCTCTAATTTGTTTTTGATTTATACAACTTAATATCTAAACTGCTATCAAACTTTTTCACAAAATTAGTAATTTTAAGATCTTGATATTCACTACTATACAGAGCTAATAATATAGAATTGTAAAATAATATATAATACAATAATCTTTCAGATAAAATATTTTATTATGGTATTGTTAAATTTGTTTAACTTTAGTTTCATAAGACTATTAGCACTATTATATTTTTCCAAGCTTTCTAGAAATATTGTTTTCAATTTTCTATTTATAATAGTACTTAGATCAAAATAAACTTTTGAATTTAAGATATCTACTAATTTTTCTAAAGCTGAATATTTATTTAAATAATGTCAAATAGCTGCTATGCAATTTCTTACAAATTATATATAGTATTCTTTACCATCTCTATATTTTATCATTTTTTAAGATCTTTTTTGAAAAAATATCTCTAATTTTTCTTTATAGTCTACATCTGAACAGAATTCCTCCAAGTCCTTCACCCATACTTGTATAGCCTTACATGTTGTCTGTACTTTTAAACATCTGTAAATTGCTTTTAACTCATTTACCAAAGGCTCAACATACTTAAATACCTATAAATTTAAATATTTAATTCATACTTTATATTAAATAAATATTATACAAGGGGGTGACAAAAATATTTTCACACCTAAGGACTTAGCTTATAACTCAATAACTTACTAATTAACTTATGTCCTTGATTTTACTATAGTAATCCTTACTCCTTGAGGATTATTTTATATCATTTTTAGATCACATGCTTGCATAATTAGCAAGTTATTTAACTTTACTTTTAGGGTTTTGATAAATTCTGTA